CATTCTCCCAAGATAGAAAAAAAAAATGAACTCACTTTTAACAGATGATGTAAAATAATTTTCAAGAAATCATTTATCATCATTCATTCCGTCCCTAATATGGAGCTTGAATTATATCGTAGTTACATGAGTTCTGGCCATATGCCATCGATATTTAAACATCATTCATCAAACTAAGACCACTAAGGTTATACTAACAGACAACATATTCAATTGTCTATCAGAAAATCATAAAAAGAAAGGTGGATGCAGAAACCTGTGATCTTCCTGAACATCAACTAATTCCATCTTCCCATTTTGTTGTTCATCTTTGACTTTTGCAAGGGGTGAAAAGAACTAAACAAAAGAAAACACAAAGTACATTCCAGAAAGAAAGGTCAGCAAGACAGCAAGAGGAATGTCCATCTTTTCTTTCTACTCATTAAACTGTACTTCTATTGATTACCTGGTGCATGGAGATGAAAACAATAGAAATCCCTAAAATAAAGTTAATGGTCAAAGTATGACCAAACAAGATGGCAGATGCTATGCCTGTAAAGATTGTGGCCACTGTTGAGGAGTATTTCTTTAAAATTGTATCTGAAAGCATCAAGAAAAGTCACCAATTAATATGCATTAAAGAACAAAACTACCATGAAGTTATTGAGTATTTCGTTAAAAATGTTCTGAAAGCATCCAGAAACATCACCAATCAAGATGCATTAATGAACAATACTACCATGGAGTTAAGTCTTTTAATAACCAAATAATTTACTGAAACCCCAAATGCAAACTCAAGTGCAAGAGGAATACAAGAAAATTGATCTGACAAGAGCAAGAAGGGAAAAAGGAAAAAGAAAAGCTCAGGAAGACAGTGAATTTGATAGCTCAAGCAAAACCAAAAGTATCTTGGACAAAAATCAATCTTAAAAAGTTGAGGGATTACAGGGAATCTATTAGTGTTTGTTCTTGAAAATATTTTATCAGTGCCTGTACTGAAAATTTTAAGTACGATTTTCACCCCCAAAAAATGAGGGATTACAGGAATTCTGTCATTGTGTTTCTGTTGAAAAGATTGCCAATACCTCTATTGAGAAATTGCAACTACGTTATTACTTTCTTATCTCCCCAGAAGGAGTTGCTGTAGCCTCTCAAAAATTTAGCATGCATGCCAAACTCCTATTTGAGAATCACATTATATCAATCAGGATTTTTTTAATGCATTCATTTAAAAACTTTTTTTAAAATAAAGTGCATTCATTTAAACACATAAAATCCAGTCATAAAATAATCTAGAGGAAAAATCAAATAAATTGGTTATATGTTAACCTGCATATTTGAAGAAAAAAGAAGACAAAATTCCTTGTGCCGCATTGTTAAGTATCAGAAGCATAGTAGCTTTGGAATGACCTTGCAGAATATCAAAGCTACTGGGACCTGAAACATTAAACAAAAATTTAAGTAAAACATCTTTAAGTATAGCCCAAACATCTGATAAGCCCAAATTCAACAAATTTATTTTTTTGGAGGGTGTCTAAGTGCTCAGGCAGCTTTAATGGCCTTACTGTGTTTAATTTTGCCCTCTGAAAACCAGTTAAATGATCATTTAGAAAGAAGCTTTTATGACATTTGAACATATCAGGCCTTGGAAATAGTTCAAATTTGCAAATCTTCTTAATAGTATCTGCCTCTAAGACCTACAACATTCATAGGAGGACAAATATGCATCTATCACAACAAAAGGAGGCCAAAAAGCAATTTATTCTTGCAGGGCACCCAAGTAGACATTTAACTTAAAATCGTACTCTGAGTACATCTTTTTTCAACAAGAAAAGCAAGAAGAGAGGATAAATAATTTGCACTTCTCGCTTATAGAAATTGGCTCCCAAGACCTAAAATATTTATGTTAAGCCGTGCTTATTTTCAAATCAATTAAAAGAAAGTGTTTCCAACATAAAGGTCTCTCCTTTTTTTTTTGGGAAGTAACATAAAGGTCTCTTCACAAACAAGGAAAACTTGCGCATTTTGGTTCACAATATTACATAGATCCTTATTCACTGAAATGGAAAACTTTCTTTTTTTATATTATCAGTACTAGTATCCTGAAGTCAACTTTTGAACACCAAGATTAAATCCCTCCAGTAGCAATCTTAACAGTACACTCCTTCATATAGGCTTGACGTATTCCGGAATTTACTCCTGAAGTATTACCATGAAAGTCGAACCTAGGCAGTCTAGGTAGAAAGTGTAATTCAATGCCAACAGACTAACCGTTGTTGGTGAACTTAACTTTTGTACATGTAACATGTGTTAGGGCTTCTAAATATGAACATGTAAAATTTCAAGGCTGAAAAATAAAATCAAGAAAAAAAAACATTTATAAAATAATAATCCATAAGACTAATAATTTATGTAAAATAACATAAAACCAACTGCAAGTACGAGGTTGGAATTGCAATAACACCAAACACTGGGGTGAAACTATAATTTGCCAAAATAAGAATCTACTTCGTTCATGGAGAGAAATGTTTGGCACACCCATTAAAAGATTAAGAAACCAAATGAGATAATAACAATTATAACTCCAGATAAGCAGACCAGATTATCGTATATACTTGAAAATTATTATAAATAAGCTGACACAAAGCTCTTCAGCATAAAACCTTTACAAGATTAAATAATAAAGATTCTGTGCATACCTTTGACAACAGTTGTTCCTAATATTGCCAGGAAGTTGAATATGGCACCATAGCCATATAGAAATAAGTTCTGCATCCCAGATAAAATTAAATATTTTGGTACAATTATTACAGAATTTGAATAATAATTTCTAAGGGCCAAAAAGACCACTATAGTTAAGGATACTGCAGAGTATGCCGAATTCATCATTAGATGCTGAAAGTCCAATGCATCATCCACTTAAAAGTCATCAGATGACCCAAATGGAAGTTAAAAGACACCTAACCTCATCATGAAATATATAATCGATGAAAATAGTACCCCCGCTTGACTTCCAGAGTATAGCTTTGACTCAATCGGCTTGGCCAAGATACACTTTTCTCAGGGTCAACAATATAACTTCCAAGTGTAAGGCACACTACTTGTATTTCATAAACATAAACGATAACATATATGCATATATTTTACATATCGACCAAAACAATTAAACCATCTCGTATCAACATCCAAGAACCCAAACCTCAGAAAGGGAAAAAATACTTGTAAATCATTTCCCTGATAAAAGTAGAAAAAATATATGTACTATTACTAACATATCACCTGAAGGTAAATGCTCGTATCGTATTGGCTCTTCAGAGCATATTCATTATAAACAGATGCCAATGAGGGAACAGTTACCTGTACAATGGATTCCTAAAGTAAGTCCTTGGCATGCATAGTAAGCATAAGAAAACACTATTCACCAAAAAGCATTAACTGTCCAAATGGTTTGTTTGCCAGCACTCCAATAGTACATAAACATCACCTCATAAACTACCAAAAGCCACTTACAAAGATCAGTGTGTACATATATGCACCCGTAGCAACCGGAAGGCCCAATGCAGTAGTACCTTCAGGTAAAGAACGCATCTGATTTACACTGATTCCAATGAGCAATAAAGCAAGAGCTTCCCACTGTAATGAAGCAGCAAATAGTTTTATCACTTTAACTAACTAATTTTAACAGAGAAAGGTTAGTCACCCAAGAAAAATATAACATGAAAATCTTCTACCAAAACTAAGATTATATAATATCGTAAATATGGTTAGATGGATATATTTCTGCCAGTTTTCAGATATTAAAATATAACATCCTACAAATACAGTGAAGATTGATCCCAGAATGTGAAGATAACCTGTATTACGGAAAACCGGCGCTTCATAATCATCTTTAATAAAAGGGCAATAACCAAAACCTGCATAGATAAGAAGATACAAGACAATAACTGAGAAAGAATGCAAATGTCTGCAATATAATAATTTTCTTAATATATGTACAAAGGAGGTGCCACCCATATACCAAATACACACATAAAATGCACATTAAAAGAACATTATTGTTTAAGATATATACTTAGGGTTCTGCCAAGCAAAAACCACCAATTGACTATGAAATAAATCTCTGCAATTTGGAATCTGTTGAAGAAGATTGAATGGTAATTCCATAAACGAGTTTCAAATCAAAGGTATTCAATTTCAGCAGCATTTTAAAATAACTGATAAACACAAAGATCCAGCCCAAACATTTTCTCTACACCCACAACAAATGTCAAATATGTTTCTGTGAAATATAGCATTCTCAGATTTATGCATCCAAAGACTGTCTTTTTTTTGTAACCAGAACCATTTTAACACTCTCACCCAATTTACCCCTCCTTTTCCTCTGTCCACAAAAGAAGAAATAACAAAATAGAAAACAATAAAATTCAATCCTGAAAAAGTTTTATTGTTATAATTCAATGAAACACAAGAATTCCACATTTACTTAGTGTCATTCTTTTGCATGTGCCCCTCTACTATATATGTTGAATACTAATCACAATCAAAGCCTTAAGTAAAAACAAGTAATCAAAGAGCTTGTTTGGCACTCTGAGAAAACATGCTAAATCAATTTTGGTCTTCATTTTGCCAAAAACTGATGCAAGCATACATATGAAAAGAATGCACATAGATAAGCAGAAGATTATTGTTGAACTAAGAAAGACTTTGATGGATGATATAAACAATTATATAAAAATCAAAGTTAAACACCTATAAGGCTGATGGCATCCTGAGATTTAAACAGCTAATCCAAGCAATATGTAATATGATCAAGATACTAATCGTAAAAATAATTAAAAAAAATAGAATACCTTTAGATTGCTAAGCATCTTTACAGTTGCAGGATTGAAATATAGCTGCAAAATAAGCAATACATTCTAGGTAAATGCAGCCTTGATAAGAAGTTACGTCATAAGCTCTAGGACAATATAAAAAAGTCACCTTCACATATTGAGAGGTTGTGTAAGAAAAGTTAATTATATGAATAGGATAATATCAAAAGGATTTAGTCATGGATGCCAACAATACCTGCATGATGAACTTCAGATAATTATTGATTGCATAGAGAAGTGCAGGAACAGCAAGAAGAGCATTGTTGCGAGCTGCCTGCAACAAAGTGATGGGACAATGCAATTTTCATTACCAATAATAAATTTTGGAATTAAGAAATTTTCCATTACCATTAAAAATGAATTCTTGAAATCAGAATCCCACAAACTACCAAGGCCAGAAATTGTAATAACTCTAAAATAAATGTTGACTTCTGAAATCCTCTTATACACGATCTGCTTATCATTTCTACTTTGTGGATATTTTCATTTAAGTAAAATCCCTTAATTATTCCACTTCTTATTTTTGTAGCCATCTATAACTCGGTATCCTACCATGGAAAGTCTATACAGATATTTGTATATGATCATATGAAATACAACATGAAACATATTCTCTCCCTTTATCTGCAGTTCGGCTTATCATTTTACAACATTGTATCATAGTACAGCTCAAATTGCTGCTAAACTCTAACCTGAACCTTCCTTCTTAAACTAATTGAAACCCCAGGTGACAAATTTTTAATCTTCTGATTTTATTACAAAGGTGATAGATGAACAAGTGGAAGAGCAAGAAGAAGTATCAGCAACAGTTACTTATAACAACAAAGACTTTAAAAATACTAACAGTGTTTCACCTAAAGAAAGTTCTATAGAAGTTCAATCCAAGGAGGAACACAAGGCAACAATTGGGCCTTCTAATGTTCAGCTCAAGAATAATCATGAAGCACATAGTTGTTAATTCATTGATTTTGTCCACCCTAGAGGTTTTCATTCTGCTAACTAATTGTGTGTTTCCATTGTTTTTTCTTTTTACAAGAATGACCAAGTGCAAAGTTCGCTAAATTTTCATTGCGAAGCTCAAAGATTGAGGTTTTATATCATTTGTCATCTCAAACTCGTGGACAAGTTTTCTCCAATCTGAGAATGATGCAAAATGGGCTTTATACCAGCTTTTCTCTTGCAAATTTTTTAAATACATCAGGAATTTTATTTCTTTTAGATATAGCATTGTTGAATTACTTGTTTAAAAAAAAAATAAGATCATTGAATTACTTACTATTACAACTCTAATAGTATTAAGCATTAAATACCTTTGCAATCTCTCTTTTGAGATCAAACAAACCATGAGTCAATGAATTAGTGAGATTTTTCTCAAATCTTGATTGTGCAATGCAATCAAGCCTTAAATACGATACCCAAGAAACCCTTTCTTGAATGTTATAACTAACAAACTTTAGGTGTAATATCTAGTTTATCTCAAATTTAACCTTAATTTGTCCTACATCAAGAAGTTTCTTCTCAGGAACTAGCTAACGAGAGGAACTTCTTAGAACGGATATGGCACCATTGTGATTTCTACCCATTGAAAAGCCTTGACCATTTGTTTCCTCAGTATTTTAGAGGCTAAACAACTAATAACTATCACTAGCATATATCAATTTTACTACTATAAACAATGGGAGTCTATTAGTCCAAAGAAAATTAAAAGCAGTTCAAGCTTCCTTCAATTACATAACTAAAATGGAATTATTATCACTGCCTTTCTATTGATTCTTGAGCATGGAAACCTTTGTTTAATAAGCTCAAGCTTG